GTCCCGCATCGGGCTCCCTGCTCAGCAGGGAGTCTGCTTCTCCCTCTGACCCTCCTCCCTCTCGTGCTCTCTGTCTCTCATTCTCTCTCTCGCAAATAAATAAATAAAATCTTTAAAAAATAAATAAATAAATAAAAATTAAAATAAAATAAAAAAAAAGAAGAGTTGGTTGCCCAACTGACTGAGCCACCTAGGCACCCCATTATTATTAATTTTTAAAAGCTTAAAGTGTTCTTGGAAAAAAGGCAGGTTTATAGGCATACATAAAATAAAAAGAAACAAGTCAGAATGAGCACAAAAGTAGGCATTGAGATTTTAGTATATTTATTTCATAAAAACCTGCAAAGTGGTCTGAATTTTTCCATTGTAAAGAAAAAGAAAAGTAAGTCTTTTTACTTTTCTCCCTTGTTAAATATTTTCAGACCATAATATTCCTAGTTCAATTTATCTCTCTACCCCACAAAATCAACTTTATTTTATGCTGTCTCTTCCAACAAATATTTGGCCATGCTTTCAAAGATCAAAAGCCCTTTAAGACAATCGAATATCATGGATAGTGATCAGAGAGATTACAGAAATTATCATTAAATCAGTTTCTCTGACTATAGCCCAAGGTGGTTCTGTAAGAAGTTTTAATTCTGCAATTTAAAGCAAATATTAATCAAAGAGATAAGCCAGTAAACATATTAAGCTATTATATACACTCTGTCTTTTAAAATCTTTGTTTCCTTTTCTTTTTCTTCTTTATTTCATTTTGGTTTTCTCTTTCTATTCTTTCAGCATGGTATCTGGTAGTCTGATTAATTATTGGCCAAAGAGTTAAAGCTTTTCAAAACCCTTAAAAAATTTTATTAGACTTGCTGGTAGAATTTTTTTGTGTGTTTTGTTTTGTTTTAAAGCATCAAGTACAAGTTTTTGAAGACCCTGGGGCCTACCATCATTATGCATTCAAGATTTGAGTTTGAATAACTTCTTCAAGACTTAGATCCTCTTCAAAAGCCTCAAGTCTCATCTGCATTAAAGCTCTCCATTGAACCCTCTCACAAAAGTAAAAGCTTACAGGGACTAAAATCCACTAATACATTCCATTTTATATCCTTTCCTCTGATTTCTCTTCAATTTCTTTGGCCTTTAGAGTCTTTCATATTGCTTATGTTTCTTTAGATTGGAGCCAAGGAAACAGTGCCTTCCAAAAGAATAGATGTCCCGTGGCCCTAAGTTTTCATCGGTAGAGAAGCATAAACTTGGTATAAGTTTATAATCAGGTCTTTTGTTGTATCCTACAAAAACTTGAATCAACAATAAGAAATGAGAATGAAGTGGTAAAAATATTTGAGGTCAGATTATACCATCAGTGGTTTAGAGAAAAGAGCCCTCCACCTAAAAGTTAATGGTTCTTATTATCTGCCTGGGAAAGTCACATAACCTCTCTGGACTTTAATTTCATCTGTAAAGTAAATCTGATATTATTTCCCCTGCCTACCTCACAGGGTTGTTGTGAGGGTCAAATGAAATAATATATATAAAAAGGACTTTCATATAAAATGTGCAGTATAGACATAGAGTCCTGTTACAAGTCATTCCCTCAGCTCTTGGGCCTGGGAAGGTAGATGATTTAAGCACACTGAAAGCAAGCACCATGTCCAGGCTGGATACATGGGAACGAGGCTGTGTTAATTTTTGGTTTCTCTGAGTACACAGAGTACTTTTGTGGGCCAATTCTAAGAAGGAGGAGGACTGTACATTTCCCTAAAATTTTAAGTTAGCATTTATAATGCTCTAGAGCAATTATATGCTGTAATTATATTCGTGGCTTGCAACCTTTGTTTACAAGTAGTGACCAGCTTTTTTTTTTTTTAAATGAAGGAGCATAGAGCAGAACATTTCACACTGCATCCCACCTGGTAAGAGTAAGTATGTTTTCGTTATATGTATGTGTGAATGTGTGTGTGTTTGTGTTTGTGTACTTGGTCATTAAATAAAATACATTTTTTTTCCCTGTGAGTTGCAGTCGCTGATCCAGGTGTGTTATTTTAGTACTAATGCTTTCCTACACATTTGGGTTCTTAGGAAACTTTCTTTTCACTTCGTACCACTACTGCTTGTGACAAAGGAATAGATAATTAGTATCAGTTTGATTTTTGGTCTAATTAATGAGATTTTGTAATTTCAGAGCACAGAGGTATTTTATTTAGTAATACCATCCACTTTGACACCTAGACTATTAAAACATGTAAGGTTGGTTCAACCTCATACTAGTAGAAAGATTGTATCAAATGTTTTTTCTTTTAATTTTTTTTTGCTTTTATTTCTCTGACCTAATGGAAAAAACAAACAAACACACAACTCCCACTTAGTTTAGCAATGTTTGAGGACTCCGTGGAGAATGGCTATAGAGAATATAGTTAGCATGACTAGGAGTTTGATGGTCTCTAGAAGAGAAAATGCCAATTTTTCTTTCTCTGAGTAACTGGATTTATCTTTAATGATTTAAGATAAGTAAGTCACTGGTATTAACTTATTCAGCTGTTTTCCTAAAAAAAAGGTATCCACCTTTTTGGTGACAGCATTGGTTAGGAATAAGTGGTTTTTCTAGTGTCCACGAACAAGAGGGAATGGCTACTTCCAGGGGTTAATACGTTCCAATTCTTTGGTGAAGAACTAATTCTTCAGTGCTGTAGTGTACTGAAAATTTATATTCGGTGCCTTGGGATTACTTACATAAGCTTTGATAGAATGCTGTAGAAAATACTGATGTTCCCTGCTTACAAATTACATAAATCTATATAGTACTAGCAACATGAGTATTTACCAGAAGATTTAAGAGGTAGAATCCAACTGGTTCATTTTTCTGAACAGCCACAGCCAAGTTTCATACATTGGTGGAAACAGAACAAATTGCCTAAATTGTGCAAATTGAGACTCTTTTGTGTATGACAGTTGGCAGCAATGGCGTAAAGGCTTATTAGATATATGATCAGCTTTTTCTTGTCCCTCCCCCCAAAAGGAATCATATTGGAATCTTTCTTCTCTTGGTGAAGAAGATAGGATCTGTCTATCCAAAAAGATCAAGAAAAGTAGCTGGCAACCTCAGCTATTCAGGACCTTCTTTCTCAACTCTCATGACTCTAATCCATCATCACATTGTCTTTCCTACCTCCTAAGTACTTTTCAAGCTATCCATGTCTTTCTGTTCCTGCATCCACTACACTTATTTACACTCCTGTTATCTTTGCCCAGACTTCTACAGTAGCTGTTGATTGACCTCCTGTACTCACTTCTTCCTCCTCTAAGCTCATTGCTTTTAGAGTCATCTTTAAAATACAACTCTAATCTCCTTGAGCTCCTGCTTTAAACTGTTGGTATCTTATTGCCCTTAGACTTCAACCCCAACTCTTTAGGCATTCTTCTTTGCCTGCTTAGCTCCAGCTGCAGTGGTCTTCAATTCCCTGAAGATGCCTTTGAAGAAGCAGGCACTTTCTGCTTGATGTGTTCTTGTCCCTCTTATCCCTCTTCACTTAACTCACTCCTACTTATTTTTCCAATCTCACTTTAAATATTTTTTCTTCCAAGAAGCCTTCCCCTATATCCCAGACTAAATTAGACCTGCCTTCCTCAATTTTCTTTCCAAAATCACCAAGTTCTTCTCATACCTAGTGTAGTTGTAATTACTTGCTTAATCATTTGTTAATATTCTCACCCATAACACTAAAGCTTGGACTGATGTGTCTTTTATTTACCACTATATGCCCAGGGCTTAGGAAAATCCTAGTAAATAGTATGGATTCAGTAAGTATTTGCAGACTAATGCTTCCCACAGCTACCACTCTTTTCATTTAGACATTTCAGGTACTGTACATTCTTCTAGGTTATGTAACTTCACTTCAGAACCTTCTAGTTGCTTTTCATCTCATTCCATTTATTTATTTATTTTAAAGATTTTATTTATTTATTTGAGAGAGAGCAGGAGAGAGCGAGCAGGGAGGAGGAGCAGAGGGGGAGGGAGAAGCAGGCTCCCCACTGAGCAGGAGCCTAACTCAGGGCTCGATCCCAGGACCCTGGGATCATGACTTGAGCTAAAGGCAGACATTTAACTGACTGAGCCACCCAGGCTCCCCATCATCTCATTCCATTCATAAGCCAAGTCCTTATGATGGTCCAGGGCCTTACCTGATCTGCCTTTGCTCTCCCGTCGTCTCTGGATCATCTGACAGTCCACCTCAGCCACTCTGGTCTCCTAGCTGATCCTCAGAAATGCAAAGCTCTCAACTGCCTTAGGAACTTTGTACTTGATATTCCCTGTGCCTGGGATGCTCTTGCCTTAGATATCTATGTGGTTTAAGTCCTCATCTTCAGATCCTTCCGGTCATGTTTTGTCACTTCAGTAAGGCAGGCCCTCTCTGACCATCTTATTTAAAAATTGTAACCCATGGCATTCCTTTTCCCCTTCTCTGCTTTATTTTTCCCATGGTCCTTAACTCTGACTAACATACTATTCACCATTGTTTCCCCCAGCTTCCAGAACAGTGCCTAACACATGGTAGGCACTTAGAACATATTTATTAAATGAATGAATTCAATTTGTACTCACAGGTGCATGTTTGGGACAATGAGACCTATAACCTGAATTATTGGGACTTAAGGTTTTTAAATGATTTTAAAAGATGAGTTTATTTTATATCTTACGATGTTCTTTTTTTTTTTTTTTTTTAA